GGAGTTTGGGAAAACAGCCACTTTTCCCTAATTTCCCAACACTGGAGCAGGTACTTGTGGGGCCCAACCAATTCAATTACCTGTCAAATCTGGACAGGACGGCCTTTCAGGCCTTTTTTATTGTCATTATAGTACTACGGGGAACCCCGTAGCAGCCACATCCATGCTCAAGCCTCCAACGAGGAACATGCGGGAGCTGCACCCACCAGTAGGTGTGATACCTGCTACAGCAGGTGGGCGATACTGGCCAGGGGTCAGCCGGTAGCATCAGGACCGAGCTTCTTCGATGGGCCAGTCACTGTGCCTCCCTTCCGGTCCCCTCCCCCTATGAACATCAGCAGTCTCTGCTCAATGCCACTCGGGGGGGCCAACGGCATATCTCTAGGTGGTGGGCGCCAAGCTTGCCCAGGAAGGTGCATGAGGCCAATGGGGATTGAACCCAAGACCTCCTGAATGCCACTTGTGTGCCTTACCAACTTTTTTTTTTTTTTTTTTTTTCCTATACTCTCCTCTCAACTTCTGTTTCTTTGCCTTCCACTACCTACTCCTAAGACTATCTAGAGGGGACCCCTGCAAGCATAGCTTCTTTTTTTTTTTTTTTTTTTTTTTTTTTGACAGAAAGAAGCTCCAGTCTATTCGTGGGGAGCAGCACGTGCTGGGAACCAGGCCCAGCGTCCCATATGAACATACATCAGTTTGTAACACCGGGGCCATTATCCGGCTTCGGCTGAGAAAAACCTGAGAATAGAAAATTCTAATGCTGATGATACTAATGATGCCAGTGATAACAAAAAGGGGCAAGTGCGTTTGTGGCACAAAATAGTTTCGAAAGGGCAAAAAAAACATCTGTGGGCATATTCGTCGGGGCCCGACTTCGAAAAGGCAAGCGAAACATGGGAGTGCAATAACGTCGAGGCCGAAGTCTGATATGAGCGGTTGTGGCAGTTTTAAATGGGTGGCTGTGTCGTAGGCACGGTACCGGTCTGGTCCCATGTACCGGGCCGGTGAAAAATATTTTGGCCGTGGCCAATCTGGGGTGTGGCCGAGACATCTCGGCCGTGGCCCTACCATGGGGATGATAAAAAAAAAAACTCCTTACCGCGCGGCCACGGGCTGGGACCACCGTGGATGTGACGCCAGCGCACTTTTTGAAGTCGGGGTGTGAGGTTACTGCCCGTTACTGTTATCTTTGCCTTTTCTAACTACGGCCATTTTTTCGTTGCCCATTAGTGTTTTTTTGCCTTTACAGTTTGAAAGTGGGAAACTACCGCACTTGTTTCTAACAAAAAAATGTAGCTATACATGCTGAGTCAGCCATACTGGACTCCTAATCCTGAACAACTCCAAGCCCTCCCTTACCAGGATATTGCAACTCTAGAACAAGACAAACCTATCCCCCCACTGCCATAGCTGATCTCTCCTCACTACCCAGACTAACCCCACCCCATAGGTTGTCAAGGTAGCCCCTCCTGGTTCACCATTGGCTTGATTTCCTCCCTCAGCAAACCCCAGCTCTCTCTACAAGGCCTCCGACCCCTGCCAATTACAGGTTACAGGGCTATGCCCCAGCTCCGGCCAGCGTTGTTCTGGCATCGGCAATCCAGGAGCACAGAACAACGCAACTTCAGCAGTTATCAGTCTAGGTTCGACGATCCCTGAATTCCTATATCCCAAATAAAGAAGAAGACCAGGTGCTGCCAAGATTGTAGAGCAGCAGGTGGCTGGTTTTGAAATATTGAACTGTATTGAAACTATCAGATCTTTTTTTTTGACGCATCGAGTTTATTAGATCGTGAAAAGGATACGCTTCCATTGGTCACAGCTCAAACCAATCCATACCCGCTGTACCCTGTCTCATGCTGCCTCCACCGAGGAAAATCCCTCGGCCCCAACATAAAACAGATCCCCTCCCCTCCCTCCACCACATCCGCGAAGGCAACCAATCCCCTCCTAGAGGCTGCCTTTGCCCCCCCCATGTCCCTGTCTGCCCCCGCTGGGGATGAAGGCGACCAACTCTCCAACCCCGGCCCCAGACTCAGACAATCCCCAATCTGCCCTACTCTCAATAGGGCTACTGCCTCCCACCATGCAACACCCCTGTAGAATAAGGCTCCCCTGTAACAGACCCCAGGGTTAATTTTTCGGGGACAGCTAACTAGTAGTCTATACCCACAACTGGCCAGCCCTATCTCTCCTTCCCCTAGCTTACCCAAGGCCAGGCGGAGCCTAGGCTGACAGTCCTACCGTCCTTCCCCTGGCTTGTCCCCTAACTTAGGCCAGGCGGATCTCAGACCTGCTGTGGGTAACTACCGTATGTCTGTACCCTGGGGTCTCAAAAGCCCCCTGCCTACCAAAATTCCAACCGTAACCTCCGAAGTCCTATCCCTACTAAAGTGTCTGCAAAATTCAATGTTCAAAATCCTCAATTAGGAAAAGGAAACTCATGAAAAAACAAAATAAAGAAAATTCTTCTCAAGAAGTAAGTAATCAAGAAGTCGATAATCGGGATATAGGTAATCAAAGTATAGGTAATCTAGATGTAGGTAATCAGGATATCGCTAATCAGGATGTAAACATTAATGACTATTGGATAATTGGGTAGCCGAAAACGGTACCCTGAGACTGAAAGTTTTCAGATGATTTTAGTATTGATGATGGTAGTGATGATGATGGAAGTGTTATGGATGACTATTTGAGTGAAGCAAGCCTAAAGATAGTAGTGGCGATCAACTTCGCCTACAGATGAATTACGACTGATGAAAAAATTGTGATGAGGGTGAGCATGCTAATGAAGCTGCCCAAAAGAAATATTAATTGCTGACCTAAAATGAGGATGATAGTGTTGATGATCATGATACTGCAGATGATAAAAGTCACTATGGTAATGACTAAACACCCATAGGGCTGCAATGATGATGAGGATGTCAACTAATTATTCATTGTATTGATGACGATTGTCTTACCGCGAATGATGATGACTAGTAATCTTGATGGCGATTTGCTGATAGTGCATCGCCCGACACACTTGAATTTCATGGCGCGCCCTAGATCTTCGATATCTCATAATCTGCTTGACCATTTGATCTGAAATTTGGACCACCTCAACTCCTCGCCATAGACCACCGGTGGTCCAATTTTCAGCTCAGGGCGCGCACCCAATCGCGCTCAATCGTTGAGCGTGCGTGCGCTATTTTTCTTGCTACGTCCAGTTTTCTGGCGCGCGCAGCTCCTCTTCGTGGCAGTAACCTTGATTGATGATTGTTGAAATGATGACGATGATGACCGGTGACTATGATTTCAATGATGATGATAATGATGATGATGATGATGATGCTGATTCTAATGATGATGATGATGATGATGATGCATACTGCTGACGAGAGTCAACTTCCGATGGGGGAGATCACGATGATGAAAGTACATGATGATGATGATGATAATGATGACGATGATAACTGATGACTACGATCAAGATGATGAAATTGCTAATAACGCGCCCTATGGTGATGCACGAATGATGGTGATAATAGGGATGGGCAGCGCCCTAGCACCCTAAAATAGTAACATATGGATGAGGTGCTTGCACGCTAGCCAACTTACCTTGTTTCCAATACTAGTAACGCAATATTACTGACAAGCTAATGATGATAGCAGAACCCTTTTTTTTTTTTTTTTTTTTTTTTTTAATAAACTGCTGAGAACCGGGTTCAGCGTCCCTCAAATGGTTATGATGGTGACCATGATGATACTAATGATACCACAGATGGAAGATTATGCTATATCTGCTATTCGGGCCTCCTAATCCTAAAACAACTCCTAGCCATCCCTAAACCAGGACATTGTACCTCAGAGACAAAACCAACCTAACCAATGTCAACCATAGCTGATCTCTTCTCGCCTCCTTGCAGCCCCCCCCCCGGTTCACCATTGGAATGCCTTCCACCCTCAGCAAACCCCAGATCTCTCTACAAGGCCTCTCACTCCTGCCATTACAGGTTACAGGGCAACGCCCCAGCTCCGGCCAGCGTCGTTCTGGCATCGGCAAACCAAGGGCACAGAACAGAGCAACTCAGTAAATATCAGTACAGGTTCATTCATCTCTGAAGTTCTATATCCCGAATGTAAAAGAAGGCTAGAAGCTGCCAAAATTTCAGAGCACAAAAAAACTTAATACAACAATAATCAAATGATGATACCAATGATGATGAAGATGACGATGATAAAAATGAATATGATGATGATGAATAAGTGTATCGAAGAGTATATTATAACAACACTTCTGGCCTCCTAATCCTAGACCCTCCCAGCCCTCCCTGCACCAGGACATTACATCTCAGAGACAATACCCTCCTAGCCAATGTCTACCATAGCTGACCTGTTTTCGCTACCTAGACTAACCTTGGCCCCGTAGATAGTCAAAGACAGCCCCCCCGGTTCGCCAATGGATTGCCTTCCTCCCTCGGCTAATCCCCAGATCTCTCTACAAGGCCTCACACTCCTGCCAATTGCAGGTTACAGGGCAACGCCCCAGCTCTGGCCAGCGTCGTTCTGGCATCGCCAAACCAGGGGCAACGACAAAGCAACTATGAAGTTTTCAGTCCAGATTCGATCATCTCTGAAATCCTATGTCCTGATTAAGAAAGGAAGCCAGATACAGCCAAGAATTACCGCACACCAGAAAGCATGAAATAACATAGATGATGATGATGATGACGTGGATTTTGAAGATGATATGATTCAGAAAAAATCTCCCCTCTCTCTTCCTTCCTCCATTCTCTCCATTCCCTTATCTATCCCTTTACCCTAATCTGCCCCCGCTGGGATTTGATGTCCAGCCCCAGAAAAGAGTAATCCTCACAATCTGCCCAATCCCCCTCCAGGGTTTCACCACCCACCTAATGAAACCCCTGCAGAGCTGGGCTCTCCCCTTCCCCCTCACTGAAATGTCATTCACTGAAATGTCATTCACTTAGATTTTGTAGGATTTTGTTCATGACAAAGGACAGCCCCCTGAAAGTAATGATAATGAGGTTGATGGTGACGACCCACTCACCTGCTGAAGCGAAAGGCAAACAATGCATTAAAAAGCAAAAACATCCTCATAATGGTAATAATGATACTGATTATGATGATGGCAATGACGATGATGATGTTGATAAATGACACTGATGATGATGATGATGATGATGATGATGATGATAACTATGATGATGATGATAACAATGATGATGATGATGACGCACCAAAGATGATGCACAATGATAATGATGATGATGATAGTGTCAGTAATGCTTTTGCTGCTACTGCTGCTGCTGATGATGATGATGATGATGATGATGATGATGATGCTGATGATGATGATGAAGATGATGATGATGATGATGACGCACCAATGAAGAGCGTTGCTGCTGCTGCTGCTGCTGATGTCAATAACGCTGCTGTTGTTGTCAATAACGCTGCTGATATCAATAACGCTGCTGCTGTTCCTTTGAGTCATGGTTGACAACAGTGATGATGGAGAAATGATGATGGCAATGACGAACAGCCCTGATGATGATGAGGAAACACCACCATGTTCCTTTGAGTTACGGCTGATCCCTGATGCTGATGAACGAGAACGCTGGTGATGATGGGTAGCTGCTTCACTCGCGCTTCGGGTCACCCAAGGCTCACTCCGCTGAACTCCACAGGCATCCCCAGAGACGACACCTCACAGGCTCTATGCCATGGGCAAAAATGCAGCAGCAATGGAGTATGAACGCGGAACTCCCAGAAAACCCCCGGGAGTCAGTCTATTCTCCCTATCAACTTGTGACACGGTATAGACAAGCACCTTCGCTCCCCGCGCGTGCGCAAAACGCTTAACAAGCAACTGCTGTAAGCTCGACCCCCAGCCCTGCAACACCTCGTCACCCCACCAGCGCCTCGGTCACACCATCGCCATGCAGTACTTCGTCCATATGAACGCGCCAGAGCGAAGCCGGTTCAGGCCAGGCGCCCTCCCGCTTCGCCGCCACGGTCCGTACCGGGGCGCAGCGCTCCCGGTAGCGCTGCGCCCCCGCCAAGCCTCTTCCGTTTTTCTTCCTCTCTCTGTGAAGGGGAGATTTCATGTTGCCCCTCGCCCCTTAGGATATAGGGTTGGGGCCGCCAGTGGGGGTCTGGCTAACACAAAGACCGAGACCCGCCAGTAGCTGTGCCTCCCTTTCTCATCGTCCCCCACCCTTCATCGAGTAGCAGCAGAGGCTATGGCCAACACTCTCCCACACACCACACACAACCCACTCGCGATCACACTCACACCCGTGTTGGTCATAGACCCCGCTAATACCGATCAGGGGTATCCAGAGGACTATCACAGTCCGTTGGCACTTACCAACTTAGCTAGGCCGCTGGATTAAACAAAAAAAAAAAACAAAAAAAACAAAAAAAAGCACTCATTTTGTGTCAGGCACTTGGATGATCCCCATTTTCTCTCTTCCGTGGAAAAAAAGAAAAAGGAAAGGCTGAAACTGCATCCAGATACATATGCCTAAGTGCTATCATGAAAATGACTGTACTTTTCCTTTATTCTTTTTTTTTGTCCTTTTCGATTTCACGTCCTTGCAAGTTTCTTTTCTCTTTTTTTCTCTTATGGCATTGCACACAGGGATGTGCATGTTTCCAGATGCACGGAAATCCAAGAGGAAATACTGGACTCCGTTGGCCAGTTCTCCCTGGGCCCGCCACCTTCCTCCCCCATAGCGCTTCCAACCCTCCCCTGAGCCCCTAAGAATGCGGCGCATTAACGTGGAAGGCCTGCGGCTGACGTATGGCCCAAGTACTGGTGGTTTAACGGGAAAGCGCCGTGGCTGATAGCTGGGCCAAGTACTGGTGGTTTAAATCCCAAAATTTGAGGCATTTTTCAGGGCAAATTGAAGAGGCCGCTACCCAAATCCCTCAAATGGTGACCCTTCTGTCAGCGGCCTGCGGGGCCGCAGAGGACCTTTTTTGAGACCTCCTCCAGAGGTGGTCTCAAGTGACCTTTCAAAAAAAAAAAAATCCATCTTACCTTATTGCCAAAAATCGTGGATGAAGAAAACAGCCTGCCAAACAAAAGACAAAAAATATGGCAATGTATCTTATCTATATTCTAGTGGTGGATTCAGTCTCATTTTGCACACTTGGAGAGTAGTGCAGGGAGGCCCATGTACGTTGTAAGAAAAGAAAAAAAGAACCATCCACTTTCTTAGGTTATTTTGGCATGTAAAAAAAAAAATAGGGGCAACGGCTCCTGGGTCACAGCTAGAATTTGGAATCGGCAAGTTTAGCAGTTTTCGAAACAGGGCAAGAAAAGAGGCTGCTAAATCTGCATTCACCCCACTTCAGAAAAAAAGCCCACAGTTCCACCCCCCCGCTAAACTTGCACATTCTGAAACTCAAACAATGACATCGGCGCCAGTTTTGTCTTTTCTTGCCTATTTCAAACTAAAAGGGTGACTCAGGAGTACTCGTTTGGTCCTCACCCGTGTGACTAAGCACACTTGCCCCGAGGGCGAATTATCAGGGCCGCCAGTTCGTCCAAAAAGTGTGACCACACGAGGACCCTTTTTTTTTTTTTTTTTTTTTTTTT